CCTTGATTTTTCTCTAGATGTATTTGAGAGAAAATGAGTTTTATTTATTTTTTTTATAATTTAATTAATTTCTCTAAAAAATATGTTGATCGAAAAAATTAGATTTTTATGGTTATTCTGTGAGCATAAAAATATACAATAGGGTAAGATAAAAAATTTTATGCTACATATGAAAACGCCTTGGGAAAATTTTTTTGAAAATTGTTAAATTATTATTTTAAAAATTCCGTATAAATTACATTTTAATCCCTGGTCAGTTTTTAGAGGTTGATATGCTTGTTAAAAGTAATGCTCAATAATATGAGAACATAAGCTGTATGTGTGTGGAGGACCCTTAAAATATATACAAAAATCCTGTTTAAGAGAAAGTAAAGTTGTTTATACATGTATAAAATGCGGTCTTTGCTTTAGACTATGCCCAAAACTGTGCTTTTATGAATGTTAAATTTTTTTTATTAAATTGTTTTAATTTACTCACAGGGCGACTTCAAACTTTCATATCAAATAACCAACCGCCTCCTGGCGGACGGTAATGATATGAGAGAAATTCAGTTTCTCCCATGGGCATAATTATCAACCACTGGTCAAGAAGAATTTTGATACAGAAATTTGCATGTCAAATTAGAGAGAAATTATTAAGTTTATTTTCAGGAGCTACACTGTAACTGGTAGAGCATCTCTGATCAATCAGCTGTTATCTTTATCTCTTGGGAGTTGGGCAAAAGAAATCTGCCTTATAATTGCTTGTGTTAAAGACTTCTTGATGGCTAGTCTAATTTTCAAGATAAATTAAGGTCTTTCAATTGGTGTAATGTAATTAAAACAAACTGATGTTTTAAAATACAGTGCATGATTAAAACTAAATTAATATTGTATAATATAATTAAAACTTAATATACATGCGTACAATGTATAATATTTTTTTCATTTTAATTTTTTATGTATTAATTTGCAACAAATTGGAGTGTCATGTCTCACTTAAAGTCTAAAGAATACTTTATTTTTGATGTTTTATTAGATTGAAGCATATTTAATCAGTCATAAAATATGCAATAAACAAAGCTGCAAATGAATATTTGTTAAGCTGTAACTCAGCCAGTTTAGAATTATATGATGTATTATTTGTTATAATTAATACCTACACTGTAAGTCTCTTAGAGATGTGTGTACGTCAAACATGATAAGGGATTGGAAAGGTCATTTAAATCTGTGTCAATCTGGTAATCAAGGTTACCAGCTGATTTTCTTGCACTTTAAACCAATTTATGATTATTGAACAATATTTGATGGGTGTATCATGCTGTGGTGGGGAACTTTATTGTTCCTAAAGAAGTCCAACAATTCAACTAATTAAAAATTTCAAGGTCTGGATTTGATAAAATCAGACACATTTTTTCACTGCCTTGCTGGATATGATCATTTATTTTCATAACATGCTTTCAACCATTGACATTTGGCAACAGGAGAATAGCCTTTTTCCTTTGAGCTGATCATGTAAATGATGGAAGGGTAGAAAATTAGCACATTTATGGGAAGGGATTAATTTTTTTCAATTTGACTACTTGACCTAAAGAGACCATACATAGAATTGAGCTCAGCCAAAAGTTGGCATCTTGTTTATTTACATAGCTGTAAGAAAGTATATGTAAACACATCATTATCTACACAATTAATCTGACTTTTCCTGGTTAAGATAAAAGATCTTCATAGCTGTGATATATTTGAGTTGCATTAGGTGAATGAAAGCTAGAGTTTAAAATGGAAAATAAATATGCTACCATCTTCCATAAATTGCAAATTAAAGCAAGAGTTTACAGTAATAATCAGTGCTAAGAGTGTCACTGATGCTTGTATTTTAATAATTTTTATTGTAATATTTAATAAAAAGAAATAATATATTTTATATGTCTTAGATGATAAAAGGAGGCATTTTGTGAAAGAAGGTTGTACATCAAAGTACAATGCTTATCTAATTTGTTTATAAATCAGTCCATGGCATAGGCAAGTCAGACTGCAAAAGTAGCTATAGTTTAGTGATTTATTATTTTACAGTTCCTATTTTTTCCCCAGATAACAGTAGACTTAATAACACTCCCTCCAGATATGATTCAAAGCATACAGGAAAGTCCTGCTTGTCTGTAGAAGGTCAGCTCCATGAGGATGGGGATTCCTGGCATGACGGGTGTCGGATGTGTTACTGTTATGGGGGGCAGGAGATGTGTGCCCTGATATCCTGCCCACACCCCTCTTGTACAAGCCCTGTTTTCAGGCTTGGAGACTGCTGTCTTTCCTGTCCTGGTAAGTATTAGAATTTTACTAAATATTGGAAACCAGATGAGAACGAATGTACATGTACCATAGGAGGGGATGTATCTACATGAATCTTATGAATGTACAGGGTGTTTCAGAAAAAATGCAACCATTTACTTTCCTGGCTTTAGGCACATACTAACAGGAACACTTGATAGTTTTAGATAATATTAGGCTAAAAAGGCTAGAGTTATTATTAGCCCTTACAGAAATTTCTGATAAGTGACTAAATATAAGTGCATGATTTATTCTTTGACTGATAAGTTGTTTATTCTGGACTGGCAACTGAGATGATATTTTTAGTATCATTTTCAGAAACTACACAATACCTGCTTTCAGAATATATAAACATTGGTATATACAAAAATTACAAGAAATATCCCAAAAAATGCATTGAAATCTTAACATCAATTTCTCCAGAAATGCTTAAGGATATCCGATCCTCAGTCAGGAAAGATAACTCCAAAAATTAATATTTAATTTGAAATACATCAAAATGAAGCTTGAAAATGATTTTTTTTCATGCAACAATTTTCATTCTATTTATCTATATAAGATTCAACGTTTTTGGAACTCTCAGAAAAGGTCTTATAAAAGTTGACATTTGTACCCTACAAAAGGGAATAAAATTAATACAGTTTAAGAGAAATAAGATTTTCTTGAGCCCGCACCTCAGATCTCCACATTTTTTCCTTATTCAAAATAAGGAAAAAATGCGGACGGGAGTATTTGGACTAATTTTCCGCATTCATTCCAGATTTTCGTAGATTCAAATTTCCAGATTTTCTCCGTATTCAAAATATGGAGAATATCTGGATGGGAAACTCTTTTTCCGTATTCTCTCCAGATTTCCGCATTTCCATATATACAAAATATGGAGGTATTTACTTGGTTGATAAAATGCGGAAATACGGAAATTACGGAGTTAATCACATGGTTATAAAATGGCTAATAAAACCGCTACATGATGCATACATACATAAATATTTACAAAACCATCAACAATGTGCAAAATTATATACAATTTATTATATCATTATGAGAAAAAAACATATAAATGAATGAACAAAATTACACATTATGTTCATGAGCAATGTATATCTTATATCTTTGACAAACAAATAGGAGCATGTAAAAAAAAAACTGGAACTCTTATTTAAGCCACAAGTTTATCATGGAAAAAATGTGGCATTTTTTAATATTCATATTAAATAAATCGAAATTTATTCATTCTATTTAAGCAAAAGTGGGAGTGAAATGTTCAACACTATTAGGTATTGGGGAAAAAATAACAATTGAATAGCATAATGCCATTGAATATTTACAAAACAAGAAAAATTTTTAGACATTTTTTATCAATCTGGATCACATTTGCCATTTTCTACCTGCATCCCTGATTCATATTTCTCACAATTCAGTTTATATCTCAGTTCTGTGCTTTACACCCATCTGAGTAAAAATTTTCTTCAGACTTCTTTGTAGTTTGTAAGGTCTCTGCATGTTTAATTTCTTGCAGCAGCACTTGCGAATTGGCAAATCCTATCAATTAAAAAAAAAGTACTTAAATTATAATGGTGCAATATTAATAAAATTTAAATTCATTGCTTTTATTCCTTTTAAAATCTTTTTATAAACACAAGTTTGGGTTCTTCATTTTATATCAATTTGTTTAAAATATTATTTATAATAATGACAATCATAGTTGACTGTTTTTAATTAAACAAGCAATAAAAAAAAGAAAAAAAAGAAATATATATACCTCAAAATAACCATCCATGGACCAAGCTTTTTAAAATCGCAGTAAGTTGAATAAGCACTTATTCTTTTTCAGAAATCTCCTCCTCATGCACAGACGCTATATGGTATCATTGCTAGAGATTACAGCCCATGGCTCCCCAAAATTAACACCTTTAATTGTGGTTAACCATAATAAAATTCTATGAGCTGAAAAGATTTGAATCATGGGCATATTGGCTGAAACGTACGTAGCCTGGTAGCTCAGTCCTAGGCCTAGCCGCCTAGAGTATTTATTTTCATCATCACAGTGACACACATGTTAAAAAAAAATATGACTGACCTACCGCATATGAAATACGTGTATCTGCATCTTTTGGTTGATACAGCAATACGATCTCAGGCTGTCTGGTCAACAAACTTTTTCCTTTACAGAGCAGACGTTGCAACATGGAGGCCAAGGTTAAATTTTGGCGGTCTGTTGTTTAAATTAATTGATCACTGAGCCCGACTTTTTGAAACATTCTTCCGATCCCGATCAAATTGTACATAACATTCAGGAGAAACAGACAACTGCTGTTAACTCCAAGACAGTTTTTATGCACCCAAATTTTTTCGGGGCGCATATTGTTTTTGTCCTGTCTGTCTGTTTAGCTGTATGTCTGTCTGTTTGTTTGTCTGTTGTCAACTTTAACCTTCGCCATAACTTTTGAACCGTAAGACTTAGAGACTTCATATTTGGTATGGATACTCCACTACAAAAACACTTTCAACTGACACCAAGGTCAATGACCTTATGACCTTGATTGTGACCTTTATGCTAAAAATAGCTTTTTCAAACTTTCGCCATAACTTCTGAACGGTGAGAGATAGAGACTTCATATTTGGTATGCATACTCCACTAATTAGGCACTTTCAACTGACACCAAGGTCAGTGACCTTGACTGTGACCTATATGCTAAAAATAGCTTTTTCGAACTTTCGCCATAACTTTTAAACCGTGAGAGATAGAGACTTCATATTTGGTATGCATACTCCACTAATTAGGCACCTTCAACTGACACCAAGGTCAATGACCTTGTGACCTTGACTGTGACCTATGTGCTAAATATAGCTTTTTTCGAATTTTCGCCATAACTTTTGAACCATAGATGATAGAGACTTAATATTTGGTATGCGTACTACACTAATAAAGTGCTTTCAAATGACACCAAGAACAATGATTGTGTGACCTTGACTGAGACCCATTTGCTAAAAATTGCTTTTTAGAACTTAATGTTGCCGCCAGGTGCTACTGTGTCTCACAAACACATCTTGTTCTTGATGAAAAAATTCTAAGTCTAGAGCTCCGTATTTTTTCCAGATGAAAAATATTCTAAGTTAAGAGTTCAATATTTTTCCAGATGAAAAATAGACTAAGTCCAATTCTCCGTATTATTTCCGTTTATTTTCCGGATTATTTCCGTATATTTTCTGCTTTTCCGTATTGTTAATTTTCTCCGTATTATTTTCCACATTTTTTCCATATTAAAATGAGGAAAAAATGCGGAATAATGCGGAAATCTGGAGATCTGAGGTGCGGGAATCCAGCCTTAGATACCAATGCTTAATAGCATGATATGAAATTAGAAGTGATTTGTGGTGTCTTGCAATGATACCAAAAGCCTTTTATACTATGAATATAGAATACACGATGGAAATAAAAGAAAAAAATACCAAATAAGTGTAAAAATCATGACAGTATCTCTGAATGCCTGGATACCTATCGTTTTTTAACCTAAAATATATTTGTTGATCAATTTGCAATTAGAAAATGCATTGCTGATATTCCAATTCTCTTTTTCTGCAAAAATATTGGAATTTTGACAATTTTTCCTATATGATATGATTAACTTAAACCTTTAACTTTATAGAAATACTGTGGATAAATTTACATAACTTTGTGGATTCAGAGATACTTTTATGAGTATTTCTAATCACTTAACAGCTAATTTTATAAACCTGAGGATCGGACTACCTTAAAATCTTTGCCATGGAAGGGGTTAATATTAAATCTAAAATAATAAAATTGAAATAAATTCCACATGCTAAAGCAAGAATACTTGGTATTAAAATGTCGAACTAGAGCAGGAGTGCTATTAACAACAACTGAAGAAATAGCCAATACAAGCTTTAATTTATTTTTATGCTCATCAGCACCTAAATTTCAGGTAAAGAATTTTTTTAATTTTTTACCGATAAAATTTATCATTTCATATTATACTTATGAGACTCACTGTGAAACTATTAGTAAACTCTCTATGGGGTCTCTTCTACAGGTTTCTGAACTTTTTTATGTCAATCCGAGGTGTCATTTGTGTTTTTCAGATATTTCTACGTTGCTATTGATTTTTTTTAAGAGAAAGGGGGGAGGGGAATAAATTCTTGCATTTGTTAAAGTGAAAGTTGTAAATACCTCCACGAACCTATATAAGCTTGATTGTGACCTTTGGGTCATGGGGTGAAAGGTCAAAGGTCAAGGTCATTCCAAACACACACACACACACCAAACAAAAAAACTTGAGTTCAACTCTTGAAACTGAATCTAGGAAAAGGTAATGAATATTTATTTTTTACTTTTCAGTAAGGGTCAAGGTCAAAAGTCAAGGTCATTTGGATAAAAAGCTTTTATCAACAATTCCTGTAGTTTTTCAATGACCTAAATTTGAAGGTGAAGGTCAACAGCTCTTATGCAGGTGGCCCAATGTCTTTATGACTTGTCATTTAGAAAGTTTTAATTATTCGTAAACATTATACAGTTAAAGTATATCGTTGAGGGAATCGGCAAGATTCCAGTTCCCCAAGAGCAAGTCTATTTCCCGATGAGCTTGCGCCGAGGGAAATAGGCTTGCTCGAGGGGAACTGGAATCTTGCTGACTCCCGAAATGATATACTTTAACTGTTTTATTATACCGATACAAACAAGACATTTAAAAAAAAATTATATTCAATACTGTATTCAGTAACAATGTTTAATTCCAACAGGAATAGATAAAAATACGACAAAACAGAATACAGCCATGAAAGGAATTCCATTTTATCAATAAATCAGTTCATTGTCCGAGTTTTTACTAAGTAAAATCGAAAGTTACATTACTCAAATTTGAGCACGCCATTTCTGTTGTTGTTCGCTTCCAGTAAACTGGTTCTTTTTGATTGATATGGGACCAGTTGACTTGCGATGCATTTCGATTCACTAATGAATATTCATGAGTTTATTCGGAACATTTTTAAGTTTGTCGTAAGTTGAAAGAAAATGTCAAGCATTCCGAATAGGTGTGTATCAGTTCATCAAAAAAACGTACTTTTTTTGCAGGGAATCAGTCTGTTTTGCAGGGAATCGGTTTATTTACGGTGATTATATTAGGAAATCAGCAAAATATATCGATTTACTTTTATATAGTGAAAAATCAGTAGAGGTATAATAACATAGACTGTCAGGGGCTATAACTACTCAAAGGGGTTTATGAATCCTTTTGCACTGAATAGATTGAAGAGTCTGCTAAATTAGTCAAAGACATTGTTGAAGGTTTTATATCTCTACAGTTTACGGTTTCGGAGGAGTAGTGATAACAAGGTTTTTCATACAAAGGGGCACTAACTTTTAAAGGGGTCAATCTTAGGGGACAAGAATGAAAGGGGGGGCATCAGTGTTTCACAAACACATCTGGTCTTACAGTATACATGATAGGTAAGTGTAATAAATTAATTTGTGATCAAAACAAACTACAATATCTACTAGGGTGATTAAAACTAAATGCAAACTCACAGTGATCCATTGTCTCCGAGAATGATGAGTTATGAAACAAAAGTGAAAGAAAATGAGATATAAGAACCTATAGCCTTGGGAGCTGCTGTTATTTCATAAATAATTTGAATAGGTGATATCACCTATTCAAAATGATAAGGTGATATCACCAATTCCAATCGATATCACTTATTCAAATAGGTGATATCACCAATTGAATAGATGATATTATACAATTATGGACATCAGTGTAGGTCGATATGTGGTTATAAGGACTCATGGCAATTGATATTGACCGAAGACACAGAAAGTAATAGCGACCGAGCCTGCAATATTATATAAATATAGCCCTTTGATGAGGTCAATCCATAGATATATCGACTTCACAGAAAAGCATATCGACCGAGCACGAAGTGCGAGGTCGATATGCTTTTCTGTGAAGTCGATATATCTAATGGATTGACCTCATCAAAGGGCTATATTTGTTATATTATTTTTTACATAGATTGACAAAGCAAATTATGAAAATAATTGGAAAAGTTTTCTCCCTTTAACAATTAGAGACTAGAGATCAAAATAAATTACACCGTTTAATGTAAATGCGTTTCCTTTATATTGATGGAGTGATTTAGACGACTTATTCAGAATACTTCATTTATTTGATTAAGTTTTGTATCAATATTTGACACACATATCGAATATGTTTTAATTAATATGAAGTAATCCTAATCCAATGCCTTCTTTTGTCTCATCAAATACAGAACATTTAAAAAAAAAATAAAGTTAGTAAAAATTGAAATAAATATTTTTTTTCTAGAAACATCAAATCATACACTGTATTAGCTTTGATTGAATACAGTACTATTTTGTTTCACGGAAATTATCTCCATTTTAAGAAACCTCAAGTCGATATGCATTTCAGATTCTATAAATAGTAACTCAAGTCTTTATGCTGTTATATACTAAATCATGTGATCAAGTTTGAGCCAATCAGAGAGCTGGGAATAAATGATAAAAATAATATTATACAATTATGGACTTCAGTGTAGGTCGATATGTGGTTATAAGGACTCATGGCAATTGCCATGAGTCCTTATAACCACATATTGACCGTTCACTGAAGTCCATAATAGTTATATTATATAATCACTCAAATTGAATGCACTGACACGGTCCTAACTGAATGGACTTGGCTGTCATTACGTCATAATGGTTAAATTCACGCTTCTTAGATTATGACGTCACATACTACATTACTTTAGTGCAACGGAACGTTGTGTCGTGCGATATTATTTTTCACGGACGCGCTTTTGCACCGATATCACAAAAGGAGGTATATCATGTGACGTACTTTCAGCCAATGAAAACTACGAAAATTATCTTCTTATATAATATATCAATATTAATGTATAAATATCAATATTGCCATGAGTCCTTATAACCACATATTGACTGTTCACTGAAGTCCATAATAGTTATATTATATAATCACTCAAAGTGAATGCACTGACACAGTCCTAACTGAACAGACCCGGTGTCGTATAGTGAGGCTTCCCCCGGAAGGCTCACTATATAGTGAGTCTTCCCCCCGGAAGAATGGCTATATAGTGAGACTTCCCCCACGGAAGTTTCACTATATAGCCGTTCTTCCGGGGGGAAGGCTCACTTTATAGCCAACCTTCCCCCATTCATAGTGAGACTTCCCCCTTTTATTATTGTTTCCGGAACATTGTTTTATTATTTTTAAAAATTCTAATAGTGTTAATTTAGGAATAACAAACAACTTATTGGTTTGTACATGTGTTGAAGTTAACAAATGAGTTATTTTTGTTATTTTTTTAAATTCATGTTCAAATATCTTATCTCAATCAAGTATTGACTGATGCATACATGCACGCTCTGTGTTTCAACGTATAAAGTGTAAAAATGAAATTGCGACAAAGCAGATCTACACACTAAAATTGACAATTAGCCATCTTCGACTTTAGTGCAAAATAGTTTAGACAACTAAGTGACAATTGCAATGCAGTATATATTTTTTTAATTTTACGTATTTTTTATACGTGTATTCAAACATCCAATCGTCCAAACCCAGTTTAATAAAATATCTTTAAATAAATGATTTTTAAAACACGACCAAAATGAAAAAAATAATTGTATGAATTGATGTATGGGTGTGATGAGCAGGGGATGCACACATTTTCATGCAATTTTTTCCGGTCATAAATTTAAAAAAAAAAAAAGGGGGGGGGGGGGGGTAAGCCCAATCCATGCATCCGGTGCCTTTGCTAAAATATGCATGACAGTCAGAATTTGATTTAAAGTGTATTAGAACTCAAATCCATCTTATTTGATTTTATAGTGATGTAATTTCATTAATATCACGCAAATTTAATTTCAAAATGAAATACAAATCCTAAAAATACTTCAAAATTTATAAAAGTTAAAAGGTCCGTAAAGCATACAATAAATATCTAATCATGTCAATGTATATAAAATCCCAACCGAAAACCGAAGGGGGAAGACTCACTATGGTCATTATGTGGGGAAGTCTCACTATATAGCCATATTTCCCCCCAGGGGGAAGACTCACTATATAGCCAGACTTCCGGGGGGAAGTCTCACTATGGCGGAAGTCTCACTATATGACACAGGCTGTCATTACAATGGTTAAAACACACTTCTTATGTTATGACGTCACGTTCCACTTAACTTTAGTGCAACCGAACGGTGTGTCGTGCGATATAATTTTCCACTGACGTGCTTTTGCGTCAACATCACAAAAGGAGGAATATCACGTGACGTTTTTTCAGCTGATGAAAATTACGAAAATAATCTTCTTATTCAATATCACCAATTGAATAGGTGATATCACCTATTCGAATAGGTTTTTTGGCAGTAAATACCAAAAAGGCACCTCATATACATTAAACAAAGATGCATAAAAGATGCATATAGTGTGTTTCATTGTAACAGTCACTATTGTTTCAGATGCTTCAATTTCAGCTAAGGAATGACCAGGTTATTGTTCTTCGAGCACTGGTTAAATTTTTTGTGCAGGTCTCATTTCCAAGTAACTATAAGCCCTATGTTAACTAAACTTGCATGCATGATACATCTAAGAATGCACACTACCAGAATTGCTTCGGATGCTGTATCTGCATGACCCAAATTTTCCAGAAATGTAAGATATATAATGCCAAAGGATCAAGCAAGTGATCAGGTGATCAGACAATTGAACATGCACCAATGCAGTAGGACGAGGGGCTCTTTTGGGATCATGCATTCCATGGTAAGAATGATCATGTGAGTCAGAGGGGGATGCCCGTATATATACTGCCCATTTACAAGGCTCTTCAGTTGACAGTTGAATGAAAGAGAAGATGCTATTGTCAAATGTGGTCCGAGATGTTTATACATGGTATATCAACTAGTGGCAAAGCATGCCAAATTAAAGCCCATAAATCCTGCAGTGATTATTGTAAAATGCATGTTGCAAGATTACATGAGACGCATTGAGCAATATGTTCGCAAACATGCAAAGACAGCTGCGATTAATCATAACTAACATTAAAATTCATTCATAGCTTTTGCGAGTACTCAAAGTATAGCAATGGCTCTGGTTCATTTCTTTCCATTTATTTTGCATTTTACAGGAAATATTGTTTTACCCCATAAAGGCAAAAGGGAAATGTGCGAGTCTCTGAATGGACGTTACTTTGTGGAGGGGGAGACTTGGTACCTAGACAACTGCACTCAGTGTTTGTGTCACAGTAGCAGCATCCTGTGTGAGACTCAGGCCTGCCCCCTCTGCTGTGTAGCTATCCCACAATCCTACCCAACACCTGTTGCCCAGTCTGCCAAGGTCAGGGTAAAACAGCATATTAATATCCCCTTAAGGAAACATAACATTCACATGTATTGATGTATATTTTTTAGGGATGGCAATTTGTAACCGGTTAACTGATTACTCTGTCAGAACAATGGCAATCGGTTAGAAAATCTGTAATCGGTTAGTCAGTCAGAAAAAATAAAAAATATGTAAAGTTGAACGCAATATCTTTTATTAAAATTTATTTTTGCAGATATAAAATCTCTACATAAACGCTCATAATTAAGTGTTTTTACACTACTTTGGAGGTAATTAATGGTTCCTCGGATTGCGAGTGTAGGGGTAATTGTTAGGTGGTTTGTGTTTGAAGTGTTCATTAGTGTTAAAACACCATGTTGCTACCCCGATGGTTCTGTAATTCTTTGATGATAATTAAAGCACCGTTGAGCACTGTGAATTAGTATGTTTATCTTTTACAGTTGTATCTAATAAAATACTATACAATCATTGCAAATTAAGTGATGTAGATCTCCACTTGGTTTTAATTTTGGTGACAATGCAGAATGAACTAAATTGTATGACATTTGCTCTGGAAAAATATCAATAGATTTTCAAACAATCATGTTTTGTGGTTTTCTTAATTTTTTTTAATCTGTTGAAACTGAAATTAAATAAATATGCATGTAGTTTTCTTAATAAAAATCAAGACAAATGGAATGAATTTTAAAGAGCTAGGTTCACTTTATGCATAAAATGGCCCTGAACTTATATCAATTAATTATAACCCTTTATACTCTGCTGCATTGTTTTTATAAGTAAGCACTGTCTCTGCTGAATTGTTTTAAAGAAATGATGAAATATACACATACAATCTTTAACTTAAATAAAATGTTCATTTTTCAAGTTACAATGATATAATTTTCCAAGTACATATTAGATACCTATAGTTTTTTAGAAAATATTATCATATATATTAATTAGTGATAGGATGTTGCTATGGCAACCACTGTTTAAAGGTCATTATCCTGGAAAGCATAACTGTTCCTTTGTTTTTCAATAATTATAATGAAATTTAAGCTTAGAAATAATATACCAAGTTATGAAGATGAGTATATTGCTTACCTGATAAATTTTCATGGAAATTTCATGGTCAAGGTCATTTCAAAAATGATATAAAAGCATTAAACTTCAAGGTCATATGTGTTTTATCATCTTGATTATTTATCCCTAAATACTTCATAACAGAAAACAAACAAACAAAAACTTCAACTGCCCTAAAAGGTCTAATACCCAGTTTTTGGATAAAAACCATGTTAAAAATGTGACCTTGACCTTAGTTAACTGATCATGGGTCAGAGTTATGACACATCTGCAGGTTATAAGCAACCTTTGTGCCAAGTATGATTATCCAATTTTTTTTTTTTTTCATGGACTAACCATTATTAGTTATATAGACACTTAGAGGGGTATATAAATACGGAAATATGTGGGGTCCTTGAAAAAATACATATTTGGTGAGGCGTAATGAATTTATCTTGACGATGGTTCTCTAAAAGACTAAATATTTATAGTATCGATATATCGCTTTCACTGAGGGAAGTAAATCGTTCCACATCTGTTGTTTTTGACAGACGCATTGTGACGTCAGTTATGAAGCTCCACACGGGGTCATGTGAAAACAGTATGATGATGTGTGGTTGATAGATTTTAATATATAGTGGGTAGGTCACGTGGAGTGGGCACATTAGCAATGTAAGGTGGGTAGACAGCATAACATCGTTTAATACAGTATTGCTCTCATGCAGCCAATGAAATTTCAAGATTTTGATCAGAGGCAGGATAAACTTTGTTGTTGTTAATGATGAGACATTGATCTTGGTTAAATGACCTTGAATCAAGGTCATGACACACCCTCAGGTAAGTATGTGCCTCCAAAGTTTTATGGAGTGGACACAAAAGTGTGACGGACAGACACAATGAGTGTTATATTAGTTTGTGGGAGGTTCACTATAACCAATGCATTCCTCTCCAAGAATTTTTAAAAAAGTACATATTACACTGTTCTAAAGAGAAGAAAATTTATTTTTAAATATTGAAAATACAAACTTCCTAACATAAGCTTTTGACATTTTTGCATACATGTAAATGAATTTAAACTTGACGAAAGAATGGAACATTCATTGGTAAAAAATCAACAGGTGGTTTTCAGTTGCAAAAACTAGATAAGATTGACAAATATTGTGATAAAATATATTTTACCCTGTGACTGTACAACTGCTTCACCCTTTAATGGTTGAAAATTGAAAATGGATATATATACTTATATGGGACAAATATCTAATGCTTAGGCTAAGCATGTCCATTCCAAATCATTTTTCAATATGAATTTGTATATCAGAAACAAACAAATGAAAATTGAGATCTAAATTTTGTTGGGCATTTTGCAAAATCAGGTCTTTTTGTTTGTGAGATTTGTAGAATAGCTGTAAAATTAACAATTGCATTGAAAAACAAGAGACCCATGGGCCTTATAGGTCACCTGAGCATCATGCAACAACTTTCAAATGATTGAATTTGGTTCATGTTTTAAGCTAGATGCTATGGCATTCACAATTTAAAAAGAGGCACCATTGCTAATCATAACTATAAACTTAGTAATTGTTTAGTTTGTTTACTTAATACCCATAAGCAGGGTAGGGGAACAAAAATGCATTTCAACTAATCAGTAATATTCAGCAATAATTAGAAGTGCCCCTACCACACGTGAACCCCTGACCCTACCCAGGTCTAACACATTGCACAATTTTTGAAAAGGCACACTTGCTTATCAAAAATGTTTGATTAATACCAAGGAGCAGATTTCAAACAATTCATTTTCAGTATATAAGTAGACCCCCCTCCCTCCTCTTTGGTATCCCTGACCCATGGGCCTTGAAATTCATAATTCTGGAAGAAGAGCCCTTGCACATCATAACTATATAGTTAGTTCATCTGCTTATTACTCAGGAGTAGAGAAAAACATTTTCATAGATGTAATGTATTTTCACTATATAATCATTATAGATCCGTGCCCTAACACAAGAACCCCTGATCCTGGGGCCATAAATTTCACAATTTTGGTAGAGGCACTCTGGCTCATCATAACTGTGTACTTAGTTAGTTTATTTAATACTCAGGAACAGAGA